CCTCTGTTCATGACTTTTGTCCTAATTATTTGAGGAAATTTGAGCAATGCTAGAGAGCTTACACCCTGGCCGCTGTACTCAAAATTACAACCTCCTGTCTCTTACCTTGTATTGTATATCCTGTTTCCTATATCATTTGTCACTATATAATTAAATATACAATTGACTTACTTGTGTATGTTGTATATGGTCTGTCTTCCTGCCTGAAATCACAGTCCTTTGTCTCTTGCAGTTATTTGTGTGTCCCAAGGTAGTATAGAATGCCTACCCCTAGCAAGTGCTCAGTACCTGTGTACTAAATGCATCAAAGACAGTAATGCTTTGGGGCTGGGGATTTAGCTCAGTGGCAAAGTGCCTGCCTGGCAAGTGCAAGGTTGTGAGTTCTATTCCTGGTACTGGAAGAAAAACAAAAACCAAAACAAAACAAAAGACAGTAATGCTTTCTTCTATTTTTTGCATTATACTAGATCTTGACTTGCCTTCCTATTTTTTTGGGTGAATGACTGAAATTTTTTTCCAGTGAATCAATATGTGTAACTTTTTTGTTAGTAAACCTATTAATTTTAAATGTGTGACTAGACAAACAAGGACATAAAAATAGTAAGAATGTTGGATTTTATTTCCTCACTGGAAGGAACTACACCATTGGAATCGAATGCAGCATGTCTTAGATATTTTCACAAGTCACTGCTGAATAAAACTGTCATGACTGCCTGACTGTATTGATTTGTCCCCTTTTCATGATGTACCCACTGGGCTGTGTCATCCTGATGGGACTCAGTCCTTGAGTGTAGGGTTAGGATTTCCTCTCTTGTGTTCTTGGATCAAGGCATTCAGATGACAGATGGGCAAGGCAGGGATGCTAACAGTGAGGTCATACCGAGGTCATTCACCATGAGTAGGAAAGGATTAAACCCTGCTCATGGGGGTCTGGGGATGTAGCTAAACAGCACAGCACCTGCCTGGCAAGTGCAAGGTCCTGAGTAACTGATACAAATGGCATTAACTGGAAATATTAAAGGATTCTAAATATCTTGCTTATTTCTAGAATATTCAGGCAGTTCAAACAAGTTGCATGTCTAAGTACTGCCTTAGTGTGTTTACTCATTCTATAAAAACAGTAAGATATAGGACCAGGAATGTAGTTCAGTTTCACAGTACCTGCCTGGGAAGTGCGAGGCCCTGAGTTTGATTCTCAGTACCAAAATTAAGAAAAAGAACTATTCAAAAGCAGTAAGATATAAAATGTTTGCTTAAAAATTATTGGGTCTCAATTTCACTTGAACCTTTAAAACAACAGTGTGTCCTTATAATGTAATAACACTATAATGTGAATTTTATGAAACAGTGGAAGACTGAAGCCTGTCAAGGTGGTTTTGATTTTAAATCATCAGGTGTGTTGCAAACAGTTAAATGCAGCTAAATGTTCTCAACATGAGCTCTGTATTCAGTGGAAATGTTCTCAACATGAGCACTGTATTCAATGGCATAACAAATGTTTTCCTTTTTTTTGGTGAAACACACACACACACACACACACACACACACACACACACACATACTGCTCACATGTTTCTCCAAAAAGATAACAGAAAGGAAATTGAAACTTTTTCAGTAGATGACTGATGTATATTTAGCATTCTATTTATATTCAAGGAAGGGAATTAAATTGGTTTCAGCCATTTCATTCTAATTGGTATTAATCAGCCTTCTGCTTCTATAACAAATACTGTAATCAATTTATAAAGAGAAAGGGTTTGTTTTGGCTTACACTTTGGGCGTAAGTTTAAACCTTTGATTGCTTGTCCCCGTTGTTTTGGAGCCTATGATGGGGAGGCACACAGTGCCTGAAGGATGCGGCAGACCAAAACTGCTCATCTTATGGCCTGGAGTAAAAAAGTCCCACAATCCCTTCCGAGGACCCCCATCCCTAGAAGCCCTCTCACTAGGCTTCAAGCTTCCTCCTTCTTCCAGTAGAGCCACCTTGGGAAGTATGCCTTTGACACATAGGCTTGTGGGGCACATTTCACATCCACGTGATAGCAAGGTATCTTTTCAGTCCAATGAGAGAATGTACGTAAACGGACTTCAGTTTTATTGCACATCAGAGTGGTTTCAGTGACCTGTTCTTAAATTCTCAGAGGATCAACTTTTAATTTTTTGCAGTGATGAGTCCCAAGGACTCATTTTAACCAAACTTCTTAACCACAGAGTTGGCGAAATTTCTTGTATTCTTGCCTGACCTGGCAATTTAGTGGGACACTGTTTCAAGACAAAAACTAAAAAGGCTGGGTCGATGGTAGAGTGCTTGACTGATAGAGTGCAAGACCCTGGGTTCAATCCCCAGTACCACACTTTTAAAAACTCACCATTAGTGTTATTCAGTCCCAAGTCAATAAATAGTATATTTGTGGACCCATGCAGTTTGATGTCCTCTAACTTAAAAAGGACATAGGAATTTAAAAGGCTTTGAAATCTGAAGCACTAAAGTAATATGGACAAAGAGAATAATTGCAAGAAGAGAGTAACAAGGAATGTGATTTCATTAGATTAAATTACCCAATTGGTTATATCTTAGTTATTTTTTTCCTTCATGAGACACAATACCCAACTCTTACAATTTAAAGGAAGAAAGATTGATTTCAGCTTGCAGTGTGTTGAGGTTTCAGGGCAGAGTCACAGAGGAGAAACAGCTCCTGGTGAGGTGGCAGGAAGCAGAGACGAATTGAGGGAGGAGAGAGGAAGATAGACACTTGCAGGCCACGCCCTAGGGACCACCTTCTCTCACCAGGCTCCGCCTCTTACATCACATTTCCTGTAAATCAGTGGACTGATCCAGTGATAAGGATCTTGCCCCCAGCCTCCAGTCTCCTCCCCATCTATGAGCTCATGAGGCTCTGAGGGACATGCAGATAGAAACCATAATTTACATTATCTATAACAGGAGGATTAGATTTTTATATATTCATGTGGGGAAAAATTCTTATTGGACAGACAATTAATATATCTTATTGGACAAGCATGGTGGCACATGCTTGTAATCCCAGCACTCAGAAGGCTGAGGCAGAAGGATCCCTCTGAGTTGGAGAGCAGCCTGGGCTACCAAGCGAGCTCAAGGCTCAAAACTACAAAAAAAAAGTTGTGTGTGTGTGTGTGCATACATGGTGTATACATATACAGGTGTATATATGTGTATGTGTGTGTGCGCATAGTGTATACACATATAAGTGTATGTGTGTGCATATATATACATATATGTATATGGATATGTATGGTTATAGATAGATAAATAGGAAGTAGAGAAATGTTTTTCAAATGGATAGTAGAATAGAGAAGGAGAGAGACAGGAAGGAGGCAGGGGAAGGGGTTGGGAACAAAGAGAATTAAAAGAAATTAAAACTGAGTTTTTGCAAATGAGGCAGGGGACCAAGAGTGGAAGGAGCAGGTATGGATGGGATGGGAGGGGCTGAGAAGTAAGCTGTATTGGGTCCATGTACCAACTCTCCCTTGCAAACGTAATCATTATGTACTGCAAACATTTGCTGATTAAAAAAAGAAGCAACTGTTGCTGATGTAAGTTAGGTTGTCAGTCAACAGTTATATGAGTCAAGAATTTGGATTCATACACTTTTCAGTAATATGGCTCTGGAATTTACCCATTCAGGTATAATATAATAGAAACCTTTTTTGGTTTTTGTATTTAGACAAACCTGGTCTCAAGTCATGGTTGTTATATTCTTGTTGTGCAGCCAGGCAGCTGGCCCAAGTGCTGCTAATTTTACAGGACTGTCATGAGGATTAAATGTGCTATATATATTAAGGAACTAATATAGTGCCCGTTAAAAAGTAGGTGTTCATAAGTGTCAGTGACCGCTGCTTCTCCATCTCCCAATCCACTGGTGATTTTTCACGGGTCCTCTTTTACCCCGAATTGTGTTGTAGGAGGTGTTCTACATGGCTGGTTAATGGAAACCCATTGTCTTAGCCAGCTTTCCTTCGATACTTAAGTATTTATCCTGGCCTTGAGTAATGAGAATTTTGGTAAGAAACAAAAGAGGAAAGTAGAATATGGGCTTTTCTTGAAAAGGTCACTTGAATTTCATACTTCGTAGCAAGTTATGTGATTCTTCTCTAAAAATTTCTGGATGTTGCACATGTCTGTTCTCTTAAGAACTACCTTTACTTTGAAACTAAATGAAATATTGTTTTAAAAATGAGATCAACGATCTTGCTGTGCTCTTTATGGTATCATAAATGCGTTATTTCACTAATCTCAATCCATTTGTTCTTTGAATGCCAACATATTACACAGTACATTGTGTAGCCCATGAGAACAGAATTTAGGTATCCTTTATCTGCTCAGAGGACAGCATAGATTCTTAATAGTTGAAGTGGGAGCTAATACTGCTTTCTTAAACTATAGAAGTTCGATAACACAAAATAGCCAGGTACAAGTCAAAACATTGGGAATTTCTAAGATAAGTGATTTTCCTAAATCACCAAGAAAATGTATGACATGAATGGCTTTTAGGATAGTGCATCTTTACTTGGTTCTATTTTTATCCAGTTTTCTCCAAATTATATTAATATTATTAATTTTGATATTGATGCATGCTTTAATGAATATTATTTATCTATGCTGTATAAAATGTGTTAGCATATTAAAATAGAAGGATGAGAGAATTTCAAAGATAATAGAAAATATTAAGGGCTGGCATTAGCATACATGTAAATTGCTAATACATATGCACTGTTAAATTATTGTCATTGGCATTTATCTGGAAAAAATATTAACTAAAGAATCATACATAGAAAAATAAATTAGCAGCCGGGTGAAAAGCAAACAAAGATTACTTTTATGTGTATTATTTTTCATTTATCATGTCTAATTGTGAAATGATAGTAAATTTTCCTTTCTAAAAACATCATAAAATGTTATTTTACCTCTGACTTTTGAACTAAAAATATTTTACCATCTTGTCTATGATTCTATTTTTCAGAAACCATCTTTGAGGAGTACTTCCTTCCAGTGCTACCTGTGTTTTCTTCTAAACAGTCATTTATTAACTGAGGCTGGCATTCACGTCTTTGTTTGGGGGTATTGTCATCTTTGAACATAAGTATCATCATTTCAGTGGGGATGGTGGTTTTTCTTGATATCTTTTCTGTGAAACTGATATAGGTTCAGGTTCATGTCTGTAGGTACCCAGTGTTTGCAGTACCATAGTGTAGGGGGCAATGAATCTTAGCATACTATTTTAGATAAAATAGTTTGGAAAAATCCTGCATGGTGCCTCGGGAAGCCTCCCGGGACAGTGCAAGAGCTAATTTCCCAGATCAACACTGCCCAGGAATGTCTCCCCAAGATAAGGGGGCGCCTAGGCCTAGGTGACCCTCCGTGACCCCGCCTGGGTAGTGCCATCTCCTGGCCCTAGGTAAACATTGTAACCCTAAAGGAATGCATAGGTTGTAAAAAAAGGAGATAATGGGGGAGGGGGATGACATCTATCATGGTTTGACATGCGACCGCAACTGACCTGGGGACCAACAGGATGAGAGAAACACCATATGCCCACCGGGGTCAGAGAATGTAACACCCCAATCTGTTGTCAATGGAAACCAAAATGTATATAAGGGGAAACAAAGTTAGCCATGGGCCCCTGCTTCCAGATTGGCAAAGGAAGTGAGGGTGGCTAGCCTCAAATTAAACTCTGATTTGTTCTCACTGGTGATTGGTGTCTCTTGTGGAATGTTTGGGACAGACGGGAATCTTCTGCTGTAACAAGAGGGGCAGATTATGGACATCTAGGAGAAGTGTGGTGAACTTTTTTCTGTCTTAGTAATACCACAAAGGAGTAGTCTATCACTCAAATAAATTGGGCCTCTTGATAGCTAACTAAACTTGAAAATACATCACTTAGTGGTATCCTTCATGTTCTCACAGCAGTAAGAAGTAGATATTTAGAAATTGCTTGTGTCGGGCCCTCATGCTGACCTTTCTTATTGCTTGATCTCTATCCCCATTCAGTTTAAGACACTTCTCTGTTTAGTTAGCCCTTTGTTTTTCCTTCTGAGAAGCACTCACATTTTTCCAATCCTATGAACTTTTTTCTTCTTTCTTAGATACAGCTAATATACTGCACCAAACTGATCCAAAGCACCTAAACTCTTGTTATATAATCTGTCTCCCCATTCACTTTTCCTCTACTATTCCCTTCACAGTATGGGGGAGCCATTGCTGTATGCAGGGACATCTGCCGTATAGTACAGATTAGCATTGACTATCATACTTCTGTGTGAGAATCATCAGGAAATGAGTACTTTTCCTGAAGCCCTAGGAATCATTTTACAGCCACTTGGTCACTGTTCATGTCTTGTCTGGATATTAAATTTCAGTTTCTACCAAAGTAAGTATATGACCACTTAGCTTGGATTTAGCTGAAGTTTATTATGTGTGTGAAGAAAATTGCTGCAAGCATGGAGATAGGATGAGTACCACAAAACAAAGGAGGTGCATTGTAGCTACGCCCAAGAAACATTTTCTGCCGCAGTCATTGCATGAAAGTGATTGTGGCTTATTGTAAGATCCACATCTATTTATTAGGCCTGAATATCTGATGGAAGTTCTATTTAAAGAAAACACATAATACATTGAAAACATTTAATGATTACTGCCACACATCTGGCATTGTTTCTGTTTCATGTGATAAATGGCACTGGGTTACTTATAAATTATGCCTGTAATTAGGCTTTTCTCTAATCCATGAGGTTAGTCAATCTCCAGGTTAACCTGATGTTTATACTCATCTATAAAGCTGTTCAATTCTGAGAGGCAAGAATAACACTGACCTTTTTAATCATCAAAATAAAAAAACTCTTGATTTCTCTGCTTATGGTATTCAACAAAACAGTATTACTTATGCACAGTCCATGTGATTTGTTCTGTGGTTTTCTTTCAGCTGTATCAGTGCAGCTCTTCCTAAGACAGAAGCCAGCTGGCATGATGTAATACATGACTTGAAAAGAATTGAAAATCTTATTCAAGTAAGTACTCATTTTTCCATAAAATAGCCAGTATAATTGCTATGAGGTATGTATCTCTTTATGTTTTCCTGTTACTTCATGTTTGCCTTAATGAAATCTCACCTGAAACAATATTTTTGTGGACATGTATAAGCTCTATAAAACTTCAAAAGAAATAGTCTCCATTGTTTTCAGATTCAAATTATCATTAAATTTTAATTTATAATTGGCTCAGTTTAAAGAGCTGTAGTTTCCACAGGTCAGAGAGACAGCCTTTGCCTATGTAGAGAAACTGGGTGACTTGTTAGTATCTACAGTGGGACCAGGGTCACCCTAATCCTGAGAAATATGTCTCCTTTGTGGACTAGAGACCCTTTTGTCCTATCAAGAGCCAGTAGATGGCCTGACAGAACCAGCAAGTAACAGAGCAGGAGCCTCACTCACTCACAAGGGTGGCCTGAGAGATAAAATTTATCACTGTAATCTAGGTTCCCCATCCTCTACTTTAGGAACTAGGTGAGCCGACCTGGAGACATGTCTTCTAACCCCATATATGACATTGAGAGAATCTGTAGGGATATCAGTGAGAGCACCTAGAAAGATTCTGAAATTTTAACTGCCATTGGAATTAGAGCACAGAAAAGTAGGTCAGAACTCGCATGCTGAATATAAACAGCATGTTTTAAATGCATGTTAAAGCAGAAGATTTAGACAGAACCAGAGTCTCTTAACATAATAGCTATAATGCCATGGTAGAAATGAAAATTGTGTATCATACCAGGAAAATGTAAGTCAGAATCAAGGCAGATCAGATGTTGGGATTGTCTGACATGGTTTTGAAAACAGCCATTATAACAATGCTTCAAAAAAGCAATAATAGATATCCTTGAATAATTTATAGAATGTCTTAGCAAAGAAATAAAAGAGATAAAAGGAGTCAGATGTGGTGGCACAGAACTTAATCCCAGCACTCAGGAGGCCACACCAGGGAGATCACTGTAAATTTAAGGCCAGCCTTGGCTATATAATGGGTTCAAGTCCAGACTGAACTACATAGTGGAGACTCTGTCTCAAAAAAGAAAGAAAGAAAGAAAGAAAGAAAGAAAGAAAGAAAGAAAGAAAGAAAGAAAGAAAGAAAAGAAAGAAAGAGAAGAAAAATGGAAGGAAGGAAGGAAGAAAGAAAGAAAGAGAAAGAAAGAAAGGAAAGAAAGAAAGAAAAAGAAAAAGAAAGAAAAAGAAAAAGAAAGAAAAGGGACTAAATGGAAATTACAAAACTGGAAAATATATAATAACTGAAATGCAAAACAAACTGGAAAGGCTCATTAGAAGGATTATTGTAATAGAGGAAAACAGTCAACCTGAAGATATGATACAACAGAGAAAACTGAGGGGTTGAAGTGTGCTCAGGGACCCTAGGTACAATAAGAAGATATATATCATTCTTATACTTAGTAGGAGGAAGAGAGAGAGTTTACCAAGTAAAAAGCCAAGGTTGATAAGAAAGTTTAGCCCAGCTTTGCTATCTATGAGAAGTTTAATTCAAATATAATAAGATACATATGTTGAAATTAAAAGAACAGAAGCAAATATACCATACTGCATGGGTTGAACAGTGTCCCTCCAAATTCCACATCTGCTTGGAACCTCAGAATGTGATCTAATTATATCTACAAACATGCTATTTCCAGATAAGATCACATTCTGAGGTTCCAAGTAGATGTGGAACTTAAAGACAGAGGTTAGACTGGTACAACTACAAGGGCCATGGATTGTGAGGGTTCAGCAGAGACATGGCAGAGGCCAGGAAATATTCCTTCCTGGAGTGCTCAGCAGGAGCAAGGCTCTAAGAACACCCCAGTTTCAGGCATTTACTATGTGGAACTGTGAGTGTGTATGTTCCTGCTGTTTTAAACACTCACATTTTGGTACTATGTTACAGCACTTCTAGGACATGGACACACTACTTTTTTTTGTTTTTTGTTTTTTCTCTGGTACCGGGAACCGAACTCACGACCTTGTGCTTGCCAGGCAGGCGCTTTTGCCACTGAGCTAAATCCCCAGCCCGGACACACTACTTTTAAAATAAAGCAGAACTGACAATATTAGTATCAGATGTAGCAGACTTCATGGCAAATAAAATTACCAGAGTTAAGAGGATCACTGAGTAATGACAGAATATTAATCCATGTGAGAAACATAATGATCACAAATGTATATGTACCACACAATACAGCCTCAAAATTCATAAAGTGAAAAGTAACAGAGCTGGAAGAGAAATAGACAAATCCACAGTTATAGTTAAGGACTTTACTATTTTCTTCTCCATAGCTCAGGAAACTACTGTGAAGAAAATCTAGAAAGGTATAAAACAGCATAACCAAGAGCATCTATACAAAAGGACTCTATCCAAAAATAAGAGAATGGACTTTTTCAAAGTATCCATGGAATAGTTATCAAGACTGAACTATTGTGGGCTATAAAATAAACTTCAAAATACTTATCAGAACTTGAATCATACAGAATGTTTTCAAACTGAAAATCAGTAAGAAATACAATAATAAAATTTGCAAACATTGTGTATAATCCCTAGGTCAAAGAGTATTTCTCAAAGGATATTTAAAATATATAGATATTTAAAAATATGTACTAGAACTGAATAAAAATGAAATCTACCATATCAAATTATGTGATATGCAGCTAAAGAAATACTGAAAGGAATCTCTTAAAAAAATCAAATAATTATGTTAGAATATGGGAAAAGTCTCAAATCAGTAATCTAATTTACTACCTTAAGAAACTAGAAGGATCACAAAATAAACCCATCACAAGCACAGGAAGGAAATAATTTAGGAGAAACTAATGAAATTGAAGTCAGGAAAACAATAGAAAAACTCAGTGGTACAGAAAGCTAGTTATTTGGAAAATATCTGAAAATTTATATAGGAAAAGAAATTAATGAAATTGAAGTCAGAAGAATAGGAAAAATCAATGAAACATAAAGCTAGTTATTTGGAAAAAGTAAAATTGATAAAGCTCTAGTAAGCCAGGCATGGTGGCATACTCCTGTAATCCCAGCAGTTGGGAGGCTGAGGCAGGAGGATTGTTGCAAGTTCAAGGTCAGCCTGGGCTACAAAGTGAGCTCAAGGCCAGCCTCAACTGTATAGGGAGACCGTGTCTCAAAAAAAAAAAAAAAAAAAAAAAAAAAAAGCTCTAGTAAGACTGAGAAATGACATGTATTATCAATATCATAAATGGGATTGGGGGTTATCTTTACAGAATCTGTAGTTATTAAAAGGATAATAAAAAAACATGAAGTATTTTATGCTCACAACATCCTTTTCGTGGGCTGAATCTTACCCCCTCCCCCAAATGCATACGTTGAAGCCCTAACTACCATAACACCAGAGTGTAACTGTATTTTCAGACAAGGTCTTTAAAGAGCTAATAAAGTTAAAGTGAATTAATTTGGACAGATTGTAACCCAATTTGACCGACATTCTTAGAAGGATTACCTTGGAGGTTTAGCCAAATCAATAAAGTGCAAAAGACATGAAGTCAGAAATATAAATATAAATTATGCAGAATGGAAGTAAAATTAGAAATCATCTCAAGTTGTCTTCAGAAGGGCTGGGGATATAGCTCAGTGGCACAAGTGACTGCCTCACAAGCACAAGGTCCTAAGTTCGATTCCCGGTTCCAAAAAAAATCAAGTTGTCTTCAGAAAAATATCAAAAGTGACTCTATTTAGTGGACACAAATTAAAGCCACACTGACTGGTCATTATATAGTGTCCAAAATAAACATAGTAATGATCGACAAATAAGTGTAAATGAAATACAAACTAAATAAAACACAAATAGGAAAATAGTGATGATGATAAAAAGGATATAGAGAAACTGGATCATTCATACACTGCTAGTGAGTCTGTAGAATGTTATGGCCATTCTATGAAATTGTTTGTCAGCTTCCTGTAAAATAAAATTTTAATTTGTCACGTAATCCAACAGTGTAGCTTCAGACACTTATTCCAGAAAAATGAGAACCTATTTTATACAAACATACACAGTGTCCATAGACATTCATAACTTACAAAAGTTAGAAGCTACTCAAATATGCCTCAATTTGTGAATAGTTAAGAAAAAAACTTTGGTATATCACATCATAGAATATTATTCAGCAATAAAAAGGAACACACTTATCCCATTATTCCTGCCACTTTCTGAAGCAGTTCTGGAAATCCTTTCTTTTGAGTGTCTTTGGTTGTGTTGCCATGGCTGCCTCCAGGTCCTGAAATAATCAGAATGTTTACTTTTCATGGTCGCTCTAACTTTAGGGCAAAACCAGTAGTCACATGATAAAGATCTGTGAGTATGAATAAGGTAGGCGAGGACACACCACGTTTTCACACGCCTGCCTTTCCAGGGTGTGACACTCAGCAGCACTACTCACCACAATTTTGATCAGACTTTGTAAAGACACTCACAAAACAGGACTTCCAGAACTGCTTCAGAAGGTGGAAAAGACAATGGGATAAGTGTATTCCAAGTGAAGGGACTTGTTTTTAGATAAGGTGATATCAATGCATCTTTTAACTGTAATAATTCTTTGAAAATCTAAACATTCACTGTACATTATCATTCCTTGTATGCTTTCAAAGGTTCTCCATTTCCATTTGCTCACAGCTTGATGGCTTACTTCTATCACTGAATAGTATTCCATTTTGTAGATGTAGCACAATTGAGTGACTTAATTCACAGTTAAGTCATTCAGTGTAATATATTGGAGATGTATTCAACTTGTTGCCAGTATCTGTAGTTTGTTCCTAGCATTTTGAATGGGATTAAATATAACATGTCTTTTACAGTAACACATCTTTCAAAATCTAAGCACACTTTAATTGCACATCATATTGCTAAGTGAGAGAAGAATATGTAAAAAGTTACCTATTGACATGATCCTGACTACATGATATCTTGGAAAAATCAAAGCCATGAAGATAATAGAAGTATTAATCTCTGTCAGGGGTTAGGAGGGACTGAGGAATGAATAGGATGAATATGCATAATGTTTAAATAGGTGCAACTATTTTGTACGACACAGAGTGGAAACCTGTCATCATACATTTGTCAAAAACTAGAATATTTACATATGCAATGCAAAATGTACCCGAATATTCTGTAACTTTGTCATAATAATGTATGTGGTCATCACCTTGCCATCACTATACTGAAAGAAGAACCTAAAACAATTAACTGATGAAGAGAAAAGGTTTACTCTGGCTCATGATTTTGAAGTTCTAGTCCGCGATCTGGGGGACCATTACTTTTAGGCTTCTGGTGAGGGTGCCCAATGGCAATGATGAGACAGACAGCTCACATCATGGACAGGAAACAAAAGAGAAAAACAAAGGGCAAGTATCTAACAGTGCCTTTCGAAGGCACAACTCAATGACATATGTGACTCCCATGAGGCCGCACTTCCTGACGTTTCCACCACCTTCCAATAGCGCCACCTGTAGGACCAGGCATATAACACATAGGCCTTTGGGCTACAGTGGGTATCTAAACTAGAACTTCACCTAAAATTTTGGTGAAGGGTACAAGGAATCTCTTGTGTAGTTTCTCTTACAACTGCATATCAGTCTAAAATTACCGTGGAATTAAAAATATAAATTGCATAGCTTAATTTTTTGTTTCCAGTAAGTTGTTCTCATATCTAAAGAAGAGCACAGTTTTTCATGTTATCTAATTTTGTTTCCTTTCAGTCTATACATATGGATGCTACTTTGTACACTGAGAGTGATGTCCATGTGAGTATAGTTTTTTTTTTTCAAAATTGCTACTTTTCCAATTTTCAAAAGCCAAAGAAGCGTGATTCACAACAACTGTAGCATGTGTAGGTTTTTAATCTGATTTTTGGTGCATTCTTATATGATCAATGTATTTTATAAGTGATTGCGGGACTTAAAGACAACAAGTTACATGAATTCTATTTGTTTAATGTTACTAAAATCAAAACAACCAGATGCCTTTTCCATCAATGTCAAACAAAATATATTGTACATTTTTGTGATTAGTTAGATCATGATGCAATTAGATGCTAGAATAGGGTTAACTGACTCAATTAAATAGTATCCAACATATCAGTTATTTTCAGTACTGCAGTGTGTCATCGTCTCTAATCATATTTTCTACAAACTGCTTAAGGGCATGTATGTTCTTTAGTTTGCATGGATCTCTACATTTGTCAGAAAATCTTTCTAACTATTCTCTGTGTAAGAATAGAAACATAATCCAAAAAGCTTACCAAAATTAAAACATGATGAACTTGTTTCATTAATATGCTGAAATTGCCTGAGGCTTGTAGGATTTTGGTCATGCTGTTAGTCTGTTCCCTTTGGTTTATCACTAAAACCAAGAAACAGAGCCCCAACTTCACTACATGGAAAACAAACTGCGCTAGAGGAGTTCATAGCAATCTTCTCTTTGTTATTCCTCAGTTAGACCTTTTCTTAAATAGAAATTGTGCTCCACTAACATTATAAAAGCAGTAGAAATAATCTATAGCCATCAACAGACACTCATCTACCACTTGGGTAATGCTGCTCGCTGCATGTGGAAATTCTCCCTCCTCTGGCTTCAGCATGCTTTTGGCTTTTGCATTTTTTTTGTTCTAATCAGAAAGCAATCAGGAATCATGAACACTGAGCATCCTGAGCTTGATTTTTTGCAAAGGAGATAAATTTTCAACTCATGTGCTTAAAAAAGACTGAGATTGAAACTTAAACAGTGACTCACCTGTTTCCTACCTGTGTTAGAAGTCAAGAAACATTGCTGAGCCTTGGTTTTATGATTATTAATATGGTGAAAGGGTCTAGTTTTCAATCCTGAGCCTTTGCAGTGGAGGGGAGGGAACATTGCCAGCGCAGGCACATGGAGATGTCCCTTCATTCATTCATCCATCCGGTGAGCATTTGTTAAATGGCCATAGAGTTCCAGGCATTGTGCCAGACTTTGGGAACCTAAAGTCAAATACAAGTAAGTCATAGTCAAATCCCCATTAGAAGCTCTCTTTCTTTGAACTACAGGTTTTTGTTAAATAAATATTGTGGGAAATGTATTTTTATAGTAATTAAAAGGTCCCTTTTTGATTTACCAAGTCTTTGAGTAGGCACTGCTCTTGCTTTGTTACTTTTTCATGGAATCCTTGGAATCCTTCTGCCTCTGCAAGTTTGGAAATTACAAGAGTCTGGCTTGGAGCTACTACTGTTTAAACTGTTATAAATCTGATGCTTAAGATTTCTTACAAGTTCACTCTATGTACTAATGTTTTGACAGTATAGGGCCAGTGGTACCAACCTTTCTACAGCGTGACTGTGCTCAGTAAGAAAAAGTAGCCAATGATTTCCATGTTTTCCAGTTGTATGTTCTTTCTTCTGTGCAGGAGCATCACCCTTCATGCTTCTTAACTGGTTTGTTTGGTTTTGATTTCAAAACCAAAATCTAAAAAGCATTAAGCTATTTATTATATAAAATGTCTTATGGGAATTGTGTGTCTATAAAATATTTGGCTCATTTTTATAAAATGAAATTATATCAGTGTGAAAATGAATAATGGAAAAATAGGTTTCTCAAGATAGTTCTTTGTGACTCTTACTTTTAGCCCAATTGCAAAATAACAGCAATGAAGTGCTTTCTCCTGGAGTTGCGAGTTATTTCACATGAGTCTAGAAATATGGACATTCATGAAACAATAACCAATGTGATCATCCTGGCAAATAGCAGTTTATCTTCTAATGGGGTGAGTTTTGCAGTCTTCATGCAGCGATATATTCGACGTTCTTAGCTAAACTAGGAAAAGCCATTAGTAGATAAACAGAACCTCCTTAGAGCCACTCAGGAAGAAGTCAGTGCCATCCAAGACTGTTGGACTCCCTCACAAGACGTGGTGCTGAAGAATTTCACTTCATTGTGATGAGTGGGATGAGTCCCTTAATGTCTTTGCCTTTCTCTCTGGCATGATTATTTTCAAGATCAAACAAAACAACACTACATGAAATGTATGACCATAGCTGGCACACTGCGTGTGCTTGATAAATATTGGTGAACCTCAATTCCAAGTGCTTAATGGATGTAAAATCTAATTTTGATTTTACTGTTCTGATTTCATACCAGTGGCATGCACACACTCCTACGCTGTTTATGGATTTATTTGGTAAACAGATATTGGATGAACAATGCAAGGCAGTGCGCTTCAGTGTGAGAGCCATGGGGTGAGCCAGTCAGACAGGTGCAGTAGATGGGCTTTAATTACATAATCAAGCATTTAACAGCACTTAGAGTGACCCGCATTTATTGAGTGATGACTGTGCCAGACACCCTTCTTCAGACTGCTAATTGATAATTCATTTAAACCTCACTATACATCTGTCAGACTTTACTCTTATTTCTTTTCTCTTTTAATTAATAACTTTTTTGGTACTGGGAATCGAACTTAGGACCTTGTGCACGCCAGGCAGGCACTTGTGCCGCTGAGCTATATATCTCTCTCTCTCTTTTTTACTTTAGTGGTCGTTACTTCTGCTGGAAGGTTGAAGAAACTGGAGCACTGAAAGCTTGAAATGCTTGCTCCAGTTCAGGCAGCTAGTGAGATGGGAGCCGGGCTTCTACCCAACAAGGCTCCCTCCAGAGTCTGCTCTTTCATGTCAAGGAAAGATAAATGCTGAGAAAGGATAATAATGAAGCAAATTAATAGTTTGAGTGGAATTTGAGGCTTTTCAGGCAGCATGCACAGCAGAGAGCTCCGGGACAGCAAAATACACTGAGAACTCCTGAGGTGGGCTGGGCTACCAGGGTCTTCACTGTCCTGAAATGCAAAGAATGCTGGTTTCAGGGCAAAACCCTCCTGGCCAAAGGTGCAGGGAAATAAATTTTAGAAACAGAGAAGGCATAGTAAAATTAGTTCATTTAACACATATATTTTAGCCTTCAGAGTAAAATATGAAAAAAAAAAATCTATGACCTCTAGTCTTAAGGAGGGGAAAATATAAATCAAGCAAGCAGTAAACAAATGCACAATGAGCCAGTTATAGGTTTTTAGTCCAGTAGCACCAAAGGAGGCAGAGAAAAGGGACAGCGGGTCTAGTTTAGAGAAGGTTTGACCTAAAAAGCTGCCATGTGACAAAGATATGTAGATCAGAGCCTGCAGGATGGCCAGGAAAGCATGTTCAGGCAGAGGCGAGGGAAAGTGCAGTGATACCAGGTAGTGTGATTGGTCACCTGGGCTTTTCCCTCAAAATGCCAGGCTTCTTTAAGTCTTTGCTTAAATGTCACCTTCCCAGCCATGTCACCTTATCACTGGGAAAGCTTGTGAACATACCTGTTAATAGTCACCCTCATCAGGATGTAGCGGCCAGGACCGCAGTCACAAGACGTGGCTGTGAAGAATTTCCCTTGACTGTGTTGACTGAGATGAGTCCCTTAATGTCTTTGCCTTCCTCTCTCGCATGATTATTTTCAAGATCAAACAAAGCAACACTACATGAAGTGTATGACAGTGGCTGGCACACTGTGTGCTTGATATCCATTAGTGAATCCATATTCCCGGTGCTTAATGGATGCAAAATCTAATTTTGATTTTTGCTGGCATAGCCTTCCTGGTTTGGATGATCTCTAAAATTTATTTATTCATGATGGTTGCATTTGGGATATTCTAGTCATGCATGAGATTGTGCTTGAATTACTGTGAATTGAGTATTTGTGGAATCTACCTAAATGGATCAATGCAACTCACAGGACTGAGTGGCTCTTACGTTCCAAGCCCTCTGTGTAGAGATAGGGACACAGAAAAACACGGCCTTGCCCTTCTAGGAGGGTTTACAGGCTAATAGTGTAAAAAAAGGATAAAAATTCCACAGTATGAATATAATACATAAAGTGCCATAAGATAGATCCAAACAAGGAATTCTAGATCTGGAGAGGGAATGTGAAACTCAGCCCTAGGGGCTTGGAGCTTCAGGGAAGCTTTCCTACAGAAGATGGCACCTGAATAATCGTAGGTGTGTGTAGCAGCAGTTAAAATAGGAAGAACGCAACAGACTGAGAAGCAAAAGCGAAAGACCATCCAGTAGCTTGAGGTAAGCAGAGAAAGTAAAGGCAGAGGCTCACTGAAGGTTCCCAGAGTATAGTGAGGCTGTTAGGGGTTGTATCTCGCTGTCCCCCCAAAGTTTCACGTGCTCCTTGGTGGAGCTTTTTGGAAGTGGCTGGATCAAGGGTGTGTGAATATAGATTACTGGGTGTGAATAGGCAGCTTTACTAAAGAGGGAAGCCCTACCGTGGGTATGGGTGGCACCAGTGCGTAGGTTGATAACCTGGGTGAAATATGAAGAGACAGAAGAAAAGGCAGGTTTGCTGCTTTCTGCCTGCTCCGCCGTGGGACTGTTACTCCTCTGAGGTGTCCCTCCACCATGTCACCTTGCCTTAAAGTTAGCCGAATATGAGCTAAAACCTCTGCAGACTATGAGTGAAAATAAACCTTTCCTCCTTTAACTTTGAATGTGAGGTACTTTGTCTCAACAACAAAAAGTTAGGAAGATAATTTTCATATCAGGAGTACCTGATCAAAAACCATCAGAGGTTTCCAACCAGGAAGCCTAGGGTCTGATACACATGGTTTATTTTTTTTTCAATGACCTTGATCCACTAGAGGAAAAATAAGCCCATCTCAAATCTCCCAATTCTCTTTTCTTATAGTTCCTCCCACTATGATATTAATTTGCCAATGTGTTCATGTCTCAAGACCTGACCATATGGTTCAAATAATGTATTCTCAGGTAAAAAGCATATTAGGCTTCTCTGTCTAACTCTTTCTTTTTATTTGGCAGAATGTAACAGAATCTGGATGCAAAGAATGTGAAGACCTGGAGGAAAAAAGCATTACAGAATTTTTGCAGAGTTTTGTACACATTGTACAAATGTTCATCAACACTTCCTGATTGCAGTTGATCTTCAGTGTTTCTGTTATTAACAAACATCTTCCCATTGCTTACAGCCAGCAAAGCACTATGCCTATGAAATGTGCTGCCACGCGAGTTTTTCTAGCAAGAAGTTGATCAGGATACTGGATCAGATGAACTCTCAGAAATGAAGTCAGAAAAAATGTGTTTGAGTGACATAGTTACTATGAACTTTTCTGAAGCATTTTTTAATTTATTATTAAGATTTTGGATATTTATAATATAATATGAAATGTTGAATAAAATTATGTACCTGTTTTATCAATAAAAATTGCCACTGGTATTTTACCTCTTACAGGAAAATATGGGCATTTGTTCAAGAGTGGTAGTCAAATTATGCAGGAAGTAGGGCACAACCAACACCGGAGGTCAAAGGCTCTACTGGATCCACTGAGTATCAGACCTCATTTACTTCTATATTTGCTAGAGCACACACAGGAAGAATTGGCTACCAGTGAGAAAAAGAGGAACTCTATGTGTGAGCCCTCTGCCTTACTCTGTAATTCAGTTATTGATATATAAAGCACTTGTTAGCAAAGAAATACATTCCAATACCAGGCATATAATGTGGATCTGTAAATCCTAAGTGGTGGTGGCAATAAAGAACCTTGACTGAAACGTAGAAAGATGTATAGAAAATGAATAGTTGCAACTCTACTTATATTTCATGCTTTCCAAAATACAACTATTTTATTTTCACAGTCCTGTTTGCTATGTTCATAGAACTTTTTAAAAAATATTGATTCATCGTAGTCTGACAGAATATGATTGTTGGATTTTTTGCTTATAATTTTCTAAGTATTTATACTTTTTGTGCTATGTTCCCTAAAATTTGCAGGATTTCTAGGTTTTCTGTTGGTTAAAAGTTGGAAAAAGTCAATTTAATTTATTTCTTAATTTTCCAATCTAATCTTTAGGCAGAGGTTAATCCTCCTCTGATTCCTGTGAGGGGAGAAGGAAAATAATAATGCCAGTCACATTACCAGTACCATTTTGGTTTTATAAACACATGATGAGCTTAGAATTTAGAATTTTGGTATATTCAGAGTAAAATTCTTCTCACATCACTTATTTAACATCAATAAATTCAGTTGGTCTTAAGAAACTCCAGGGATGGGTCTGCGACCTTTATTTGCACTGTTAAGGATGGAACCTCAGGCCTCAACTATGTTGGCCAAGTGCTCTACCCCTGAGCTACCTTTCTGGTCTTAATCTACAACTTCTTAACACACTTAAGCAGTAAAAGTACAACAGAACAATTTTATTTTCATATGTGCACTCTTAATAAAAGTAGTCTTTGTTGTTTCCAAATCTGCCCTTCTTGAGTTGTCTTCCTTCTTTGACCAGCCTACTCTCAGCTGCCTAGAAAATACTGTGTTCAGCTCTCACACACTACCCCATGTGTTGAAAATATTTGCCATATGCTGTGTATATATATATATATATATATATATATATATACGCATATATAAAGCTGTATATATGTGTGTATATATATATATATATATATATATAAAGCACAAAATCATATACCAACCTCAAATAACAAAAATGAGGATTACAGTCAGTGTCGTATTGGTGAATTATGTCCTTGCATGTTCTTAATTTCAGGCGAAGAGAAGATGGATGAGAGAATATTATCTCTCCCCTCTTCTGACAATAAACCAAAAGGACAAGGAGGCAGGAGACTTGGAAACATAAGCAGAACCAATATGTGATTTGCGAGCCAAGAGAATTTAAAAACCCAACTGCAAGTCTAGTTCTATATATCTCATTCTTTTCCTTAGAAGAGTGAATCAGTAGAATTATTTCATTTTCCTCGTATTGCTGTAGTTACGAAGAGAGGTTATATGTTTTGATGTGTTACTGTTTATGCCGTCAGATTCAATAACTCATATGGTCAAATCAACATATAAGTACGAAAATCAAGAAGTGCTACTGTTCTCTCCTCTCTTCCCCACCCAACACAGAAATACTAGATAATGCATTTTTATTCCTCTTGTATTTTATCAGCCTTAGTGTAAGATCTCTGCAGCCATAGGGAAGTCATGGGTAACATACATATACATATGCATGTCACATGTAAGTATTTTTCCCAAAGGCAATGCCATTTCCACGCAGATTTCATTTAATGTTTCTGAGTATGATGAACGGATTGTGTCCCCACCAAAGAATTTATTGTACAAGGTAAACATCAGCTACATTATGCAATCCTCTAGTCATAACTGTATACTCTATCTGATGCAACATCGAAGTGATGAATTAATGAAAATGCTTATTAATAGTCGTGCTTTTATCCTGTATTTTACTTCTTCTGTACTGCATTTTGAAATAAGCTATTAGAGAAATTGAAGAGGAAATTGCTGCACAAAAGCAGAACTGAAAGTTGCATATTGTGTTTTTACAAATAGTGTTGACTCTTTCAGAAAATCTGACATCATTCTACAAGTTTTTGTTCAGCATTGTTAACCATTGTTTTCTTCATTAAGGATTTTATCCCTTGATCATATTGGAACCTTATTCTTGAAAACCTACTGTGTTCAAACATAATGGCAGGTTCCAGAGTTACAGCTGTAACTAGGAAAGCTAGTTACTCCATGAGAGAGTAACTCATGAGGTTTTCACTGCAACAGGAGTATCACATGATCAAAGGAATCATCCAAGTGCTCATTCAGCTGCTGTCCATTCTATGAAGGACACCGGGGAGGATTAGATTTATCCAGGCTGGCAGAGAGTTTCTTTGAGAAATGATAACAGAGGTTATCTACGAATTTTGATTAGGAATTATCTGAGGAAGAGCAGAAAGAGTTGATTGGAGAAATAGCCTGCCAAGACCTTGAGTCAAAAAGGATAATGGCATGTTCAAAAAAGTCTGGAATGACCAGAAAAGAGAAAGCGACTAAGAGGGAAAGCAAGCATCAGAAATATCTACTGATTTCAGAGGCTCTATTAAACATTTGGCCATATCCCTCAAAAGAAACAGGATTTAAAAATTCTGACATACATTAAAAATACTGGGGGCATCATTTCTACAGTCAAGGGAAGAGTGGAAATCAAAATCTCCTTAAGCACTAAATCCTAGGTTCTTACAATTATTTTTAATAGCATTGTCTTACATAAGCTTCACCACAGCAGCCATTTAGTGAATTTTTTGCAACAGCTGGAGAGAAACAGCAAGCAAGTGCTCATTCACTGTCAACCCAACTGTTTGCAACTCGTATGATTTCACAAGCTGAAGTCAAAAGAACTAATGTGTAAGTTCTGTCGTGGGCTTTGTGGACAGTGAAAATTGGTCTGTGGTCAAAGTCTTGCCACAGGAAACACCCCTTGTGAGAAGTGCATTTTAAGTCACTCTCCCTGAGGGCTGTTGGATGTAAGGGATGCCGATCATTTTCATCAAGAAAAATGGGGTAGAGGAAGGCACAAGAGCCGGAAGATAGTGTTTTATGAGTGACAAACAAGGCACAATTGAAACAGGAAGTAGAAAGAGGCAAGATGTGACAGGCCAGAAAGAGGAAGCTTTGGTACAGTTGCACTGCATTTAATCAGGACGGGCTTTGCAGAGGTGTAGATGAAAGCTGATGTGGTTAAGGAGAGGTTAAGAAAGATGACAGCATGCAGAATAAGTGACAGCTGAGGGCCTGCAGGTGAAATGAGAGGATCCATGCAGTCATGGATCTCTGTGACAAGCGCCATCTTTCTCAAAGGCTTTTAAAGATCACGGTCATCAGCCAACTTCAGTTTCCTGACTTGAAGTAATAAAGTCAAAACCCCTAATGCATCTGTGAGCACATAAGGAAGGGCACACCAGCCTGATGGAAATGATAACAGTCCTTTTATATGTTTATGATTTTTTAAAGTTCACCAAGCACTTTTATCTGCGTTATATTATTTGGTAAGAGTTTTTGTCTCCCATGGGCACAGATCAGAAGAGGTGCAGAGCCTTGGAAATATTTTATTTTTGTCACTGGCATGTAAAAATAAAAGGAAAAAGAACAGAAAAGAAACCACCTGAAATTTTGCTCAAGTTCAGCTATGTATTTTTCTATGCCCTATTACCTTTTATATTTCTTTTTAAATAAGCATGAGCATAATACTTGGGGTGGAAATTATTTGTTATTTGAGAAATAAAAATAAAGTTTAAGCATGTATTTTCATTCCATATTTTGATTATTTTTTTTCTTCACACAGTTCTATTCTGGTACTTTGTTTGTTCTGCCCAGATGGTAAATGCACCATTAAGTTTATCCAGCCTGAATTAATTATCTTTTTATAGGAAAAGAAAATCCTCTCCTTTTGACAAGTAAGATGTTTGTGCTGTATTTATGAATAAATAAAAGCAGCTGTTGTACACAGCATTATTAATAACATTGCTGCAAACATTTCATCTGAAAAGAAATCCACTCTTGTCAATATAATGTAAGCTCCTGGTATCCCAGAGTTTATTAAAGAGTGAAAAATCATAGACCTATTATCCACATTGCAGCATAAAAAAAAAGTGTCTTGCTTCCTATGAAGCACTCAATTCAGAACAGCAAGCAGCAGGCAGCATACCCTTAGCTGGTTACTGTCTTTGCTGGTCACTTGGCCCTGTCCTTCAGCATCTTGCGTGTGGAGGGTGGGCCCACAAAGCATCTTTCCCTACAAACAGAAAGTTGATGGGCAGTCACAGACTTGATCTGAATGCCACAATGTTGACTTGACCTGCTTTTTAGTTGGATGACTTTTTGATAGGTGATATGGCCATTGTTGAAGGGATTTTTTTCTTGCTAGGAGAATAGATTTGAAAAGCATAGCAGTCCTTTTCCCTAACAAAGAGGTCTTCTACTCTCTGAGTCAGGAAAGGTAGGATGGAGGATCACACTTGTCACGATGGTGAGGTCACAGCCCTCTAGGAGAAGGCGTCTCCCCCGGGCCCAAGACTTTGCCTGTCTGAAGGATCTCGGTTTTCCATGCAACACCTTGTTTCTCAGCAGAGCTGACTTGTTCCTAAGTATTCACTGCATTTACTTAGTCATTTTTACCTCTGCCAACAAACGGGAATAAATACTTGCAAATGTTGACACCAAGGACCAGTGACAAAAAGGAAACCTCACTGTACAGAACTTAGAAACATTAAATCTGCCTAAGCGTCTGCCTGCCTGCACAACAACTGGCATAGAAACAGGGTTATAGCATGGAACTAAAATATTCCTCCACAGTCTCATATTTCCCGAGACGGGGATTTTGGAAGGTGAGTGCGTCCTGGGTGCTGTATCCATCCGCACATTAAGCTGTTGATGAGTTTGTGTTTGGGTGTGCGTTTAGGAGGTGGGCCCTGTCGAAGATTGGTGGCCGGGGCGATGACCGAAACACATGTTGGCCTGAACCCACAGAATCTATGTGCCAAACAAACCCCTCCTCCTTTAAGTTTCAGGTTGGGTATTTTGTGCCAGCTACCACAAGTGACTAATGCAATGACTATTTTACAGCAGTTACTGTGTAAACAATGCCAGTAGTTATGCTCTCCTCTAAGGAAGAAACAAAAAAGGAACTTTTTTTGCCTAAATTTCAAGCTATTGTTCAAGTTACCATGTTAAAACGTAATATAAATGTAATACTCCAAGTAGCACGTGTTTATATACCTTCTTTAATAATCTTGCATGCTACATGGAAGTTAACTTGGTGACCTTGGCTACAAGGTCGACCTTTAAGTCTGATGGAAACAGTGACAGCTGCTGCTGAAGAGCGCACGTTGTTCATAGCAGCCCTGGGTGTGGTTGACAGCATTTTCACTGCTCTGGTTCTGCACCGTCTTGCACAGTACAATGAACTATAAGAGTGCAGGGATTGTGAAGATGATAAAAAATAAATGAATCTCACCTCAACTAAGAAAGCACACTTTGAGGAGAAAGAGTTTCCTCAACTCAAATTTCAATGTGAAGTAATTTATTAAATGGGATTGCATCTTTAACTTTGAAATTTGTTAATGTAGCACATTGTGGCAGGAGCCTGGGGTGAAGCCAAACTACTTACCTCCTGGCTGGGAAGCAGAGAAGTGGAAGGAGAAAATGTCACAGTTCCATAGTGCCACCAGTGACTGAAGGATCTTCCCTAAGAGCCCGCCTCTC